AATTTAATGAAGTCTCCTACCCGAACATCTCTAAACAATGTTTTTTTCCAATTTGGGCCCTTTTCATTTAATTTTTCAGAATCTTGTTTTTTTGATCGAAAAGAAAAAAATCCAGAGCTTGGATTTGGATAATTATAATTTGTCCAGTTTGCTAATGTCCATGTCTTTCTATTGTTAACAGATCTGTCAGTCACATGTCGTTTAAAGTCCTCAAACCCGTCCTTTATAGCAGTTATACTCGTTATTATAAACATTGGTAAGGCTGCTACTACAGGATTTATAGTAGAGAATTCTGGAAACCATTGCAAAATTACTAATAACAAAAAGAAAAAATTGGCGATACGATGGAATTGTTCATACAAATTTTTTGGTACAAAGGTTAAAATCGAATACTTTGAAGTTGTGACTTTGTTGGTAACATATTGTTGTCTCGGACGTCCCTTTTTATCAAGCTTGCTTTGCGGTAAAGGCTCATTAACAAACACCTGACGCGTACACACTTGTGGTTTCCGACGTTCCCAGAATTTAAGACGATTAAACATATTTTTCGTCTTGTATTTATTGTTTAGTAGATTTAAATTGAATTAAGCGGAAACTTTCAGGCCAATAGCTCATTAACACTATAATTATATATTAATGCATTTATTGTGATAATTATGATGTTACCTTTAATTTTTTTTTTTTTTTTAGGGTGGAGCAAAAATTATACCGAAACTCCGAACTCAAAAAGTTAATTATTTTATTTTCCAGTTATGGCTTCATATCTCGTAATTGTGCCATGTGATGGTTATTGAACGATACCAACGTAAGGTGAATACAACATATTATTTCATATATCGATATGAGTGTGTTACGGATTTACTATTCATTATTCTCAGGGTACGTACGTACTACATACTATTTAGCGATGTACTACATTCTGGTTCATCCACTGAGCTCTCCGTTTCTATACGAAGACGAGCCATCATCAGTTACCGGACAGATCACACTGTAGGGGTAAGCATAACAATGGCTATGAATATCTAATTTTATAATGTATTTTCCGAATCAAAAATTCCTATCTTTAATCAGGCAATGCTGCAAATGATTGATAAAACGTTAATAGCCTATAACGGGAGTTGGCGTCAATAAAAATAATCTGAGAAGGTAATATTTTTTTTTCATATTAATTCTGAAAATATTTTACCGTATTATTACCCAATGGGAATTAAAATCAAGTCTTGGCGTTTTTATTGTAAATTTATAATGATATCGATGAGTTTAATGATTTAATGGCAGATTATCGATATCTATTTATAACATTTCGATATATTATTAACAGGTTTAATAATTACAGAATCAGATATCATTAATATTTGTACGTATAAGACCAGATTTTGAAACCGGTTTTATTCTTTATACGTATGTAAAGCTGATTAAAACCAGTTATATGAAAAATAAAAATGGTATATTGTATTAGACTCCTAAATGCAAGCTGCTGGAACTAGCTTTAAAGCGTGCATTTAGGGAGAGCAACTAATCCTGTAATCGATTTTTTTTCAGATCATGTGACATAATCAGAATCAAACCGAAAAAATCAACACGGACCAGCCAGGCCCCGAATAATTATAACAGAGGTTATATTTGAGCCGTTAGCGGGTTTTCTGCAATTTGATTGGATAAAAAAAATTTTAGCCAATCAAATTGCTTAATTCTGCAAAATTTTGACCTCTGTTAGCTATTTTTCAAATATGACCTTCATTAATATTGTTTGGGGTCCTGACCAGCCGAAATATGTCGAAATGGTACAAGCTAAATGATTAATCGATCAGTTAAAGATTTAGATCACTAGTTGCAATTATTATAAGCACATGATTAGTGTTTGAAATATAGCCTAGCCCGAAACACTACACGATATTTATTAATTATTATTAACTAACGCTAATTTTATTTAATAAAAATTATTAAATTATTTACAATTTAGAATAGCAGTAAATTACTAAGATTGGTTTAGTAGGTTTCAAAACATAAGCAAAAATATCTTTGCAATTATATCCTATATATCAGTGTTGGGTTGGACTTATGATTTACATGACTTATTGACTTTTATACAGTATATATTATATTGTTACAATATCATATATGATATATAGTATATAAATGATTAGGGATGTTAAATCGGTTAAATTTAGCCTGAACTGATAGTCCGGTCACTAGATAATGATCACTACCAAATTTGCAACATATTTATTAAAAATGTAATTGATCCCGAATGTTTAAAGGCCCTTAAACACAGCGGTAAGACTACAGTGATAGTATTTTATGATGTAACCCATAGTAAACACTGGCGTTTTAGAAGCACTCGGAGAAATCTTCGTTTCTGAGCTTTTTTGGAGTATCGATTACATGACAACACTTTGGAACAAGAGGAAATAGAACACAGTCGGTATAGGCATAATAAGAAACTATCCTCAAATATCATGACAAACCATCTGAAACCGGGAAAATAGCACTACAGCTGTTAAAAAAATTCCAGGTAATATATTTTATTCGGTGCTATACAACTCTGACATTCATCATGACTATTCTGCTGCGGCTGGTGGTGGGAAAGGTGCGACTTGTCATGTTTGTTGGTGGAAATGATGTAGACATCTAACCCTGTTCCATAATCATCTACCATATTGGTTGCGTGTTGACAGTAAGAAAGGTTGTGACTTGTTGATTAGTGTACCGTGCAGTGTTTAAACGTTCCATCTTGTAGGTTGCGTGCTCACAAGGTGCTTGTCTATGGGCTGTGTTGCAAAGTTTATTCATATGTTATTTATCTATGATTAATCGATATTCTTTTTAATTTATAAAAATGAAAAGAAATAAATCAGTTTTAGAAACTGCAAACAAAAAGAAGAGTAAGTTTAGGCATTGTATAAAAAAGAAACAAATTAAATAAAAAAAAACAAGTAGGTTATTTTTATAGTATTTTCAAAATAGATTTATAGCACTTTTTAACAATTTTTTAATATAATCTAATGTAAAATAAATTAAGAAAACAGATTTGCTTTGAACAGGTTAGCTTATTGATTTAATATTTAATTATTTTTTTTTTTTGGTTTTAAGGTGACCTCTTTGCCACGCTGCTCTTTATTTGAATATTTAGTAGTATTTTTGACCGTCAGACATATCCTGACGGCTGTACATATTTGTTGGGTACAATTAGCCATACCTGCGCCTTTTGAGCGCCTATTTAAGTAGTCTGCCTATCATCAGGTTCTACACTAGATGCCGTACCTG